CGTAAATACATTTATTTTAATTGTAATTTTTTATCCATTTTTAAATCAACCAAGTTAAACGATTAAAATTTTACGTGTACAAATACAAATGCTGAGAATCAAAACAAAACGAAAAGTAATAGACGACACACGGAGTAATCGTTTCCAAGATTATATGTCAGTCAAGTCTAAGTCTTGCATAACCGGACTTTGAAGCATGACGATAACTAACTACAGTGGGGAACGCTCTATCTCAAAATTGAAAAGAATAGAAAATTACTTAAGAGATCGAAGCTTCAAGAAAGGCTGACCAGTTCGTCACTGATGTCCATAGAATGTGAAGTGCTCAAAGACATAGACTTTGAAGAAGTGATTAACGATTTGGCATATCTCAAAATTACCTCCTTGATCAACATAGAATTCAAAGCACAAAACTGTCAATGCTAAAAAAGTAAAGTAGATGTACATATGTATGCACATATATATTTTCACGCTTCAATACACCCAACTATTACCATTGATTTTCATATCGTACACCTAGATCCAAAGTGCGATCAACTTGTTATAAAAAACTCATTTTTGACCATTTTTTTGCATAAATCAATGCATAGGACTTACCTCAAATGAATGCAAGTATTTTTATTTCATGATTATCTGTACATATATACTAACTAAGAAACGATGAGCTATATGAGCATTACGACCATATAGACATATTGCAGCGAATTAAAATTCAGCGGCTCCGCTGGTTTGGCCATGTCGTTCCAATGGAAAGAAACGCTCCTGCTCTGAAAGTTTTCAGCTCGGAACCAGCTGGTGGCAGCAGAGGAATAGGGAGGCCGCCACTGCGATTGAAACACCAAGTGGAGAAGGGACTTGGCTTCAGTTGGCACCGAAGAGGAGCGACTGGCGTCCTTTGTTGAACTCGGCCAAAACCGATAAAGCGGTTACAGCGCCAAAAAAAAGATATAGTAGAATTCAAAGAATTAGCAAATGTAACTTTAGCGCTAAAATGCGTATAATCCCAATTTTAGTAGTAACTTTGGCTGAAATTCGTTTTTGAGTGTACAAAGGTAAAAAAGAGGTTTTTTTCAGGGTCCCACCAGTCATGCTCTTTCAAATGATAGTTACAAAGAACTTAGAAATCGTTTGGTATTTTTATATGCTTTTATATAACATGTTTGGTATGTATGCATGTATGTAAGTATGTTTGTTTGGGGAAAATCATGTAATACATTTTAAACCAACTTCCCGATGGGCTAGAGACTTGAAATTAGCTCAGAACCCGATGACAATGCAATATGAAAGACGAATTAATCCGCTAGGTGGCACAGGAGTCCAGATATTTTAAAACACCGTATTTTATAGTCCGATTTGATTTAGATTTGAAATGTATATTACCACCATGAAAGGAAATAACTCCGCAAACATTTATTTGGGGGTCTGATTTGGTTCATATTTAGAAGCCTTGTTTTAAAAATATTTTTTTTTTTGCTATTAACTTATTTGAAAGGAATTTTATACATTAGTTAGCTATCTATGTATGTTAAAAAAATATCTTTCACTTTTGTATAAGTTCCGACGACATAACATACCCCACCACTCACAATGGAATGGCCCATATGCATATGGGGTATTTATACGGTGGCCATATTTATGAGAGCCGAATACGGGACAAAAAATAATTTTGCAAATTATTTCCACAACCGCATAAGGATCTTAAAGCCTCCTTTAATGAACCTAGATGTTTTGGCCCTGAAACAGTATCCTTTTAGTAATATCAAAAATGTGTAGGACAATTTTCTCGAGATTTTTACCCAGTAAAATTTGTTTACAAAATTCGTTAAATTTTAGTATAATGAAGTGCAATTTTAAGTCGCTATGGCTTACCATTAGTTTTAACAATTTTTTTTTTGTTGACGGTGTTACGCATTTTTTTTATACAAAGTAAGTATGTTCGACCATTTTTTTTGAAAGAGAAGCAAATGAGCAGCACTTTCCACTCGCAATTTATTATACTCAATTTTATTGAGTTTCAAAACAGTAAACCAAATTTTTTTCTAAAGATTCTAGTTAAAAAGTTTGAAATTTTGGTGAAACATAGGGTTGCCAACATTTTCTTAGATATTTATAGTACTATTTCAAAAAAATTGGGAAAAATATAGTACACTTCAAATATATATAGTACTTTATTCTTAAGAGAAAGTAAACACGATTTTTAAGTGATGGAATATTTCTTCCTGTGAATGCCAAAGTTGTTAGAATAAAGAGTAGAAATGAAATAATTTTAAGTAAATTTGTTAATTCTTTCTCAGTTATGTTACCTTTTTTGATTATAAACTCACAATGACCTTTTACTTTAAAGAATATTTCATGTAATATTGTTATTTCAGTATAAAGGTCATCCATTTTAATACACATTTTTTCGTGCAATTTACTGAAATATATTCATATTTATAAATGAAGAAATATAGTATTTTCGCGTACTATATTTTTTTCCAACAGTATATAACGGGTGATTTTTTAAGAGCTTGATAATTTTTTTTTTAAAAAAAACGCATAAAATTTGCAAAATCTCATCGGTTCTTTATTTGAAACGTTAGATTGGTCCATGACATTTACTTTTTGAAGATAATTTCATTTAAATGTTGACCGCGGCTGCGTCTTAGGTGGTCCATTCGGAAAGTCCAATTTTGGGCAACTTTTTCGAGCATTTCGGCCGGAATAGCCCGAATTTCTTCGGAAATGTTGTCTTCCAAAGCTGGAATAGTTGCTGGCTTATTTCTGTAGACTTTAGACTTGACGTAGCCCCACAAAAAATAGTCTAAAGGCGTCAAATCGCATGATCTTGGTGGCCAACTTACCGGTCCATTTCTTGAGATGAATTGTTCTCCGAAGTTTTCCCTCAAAATGGCCATAGAATCGCGAGCTGTGTGGCATGTAGCGCCATCTTGTTGAAACCACATGTCAACCAAGTTCAGTTCTTCCATTTTTGGCAACAAAAAGTTTGTTAGCATCGAACGATAGCGATCGCCATTCACCGTAACGTTGCGTCCAACAGCATCTTTGAAAAAATACGGTCCAATGATTCCACCAGCGTACAAACCACACCAAACAGTGCATTTTTCGGGATGCATGGGCAGTTCTTGAACGGCTTCTGGTTGCTCTTCACTCCAAATGCGGCAATTTTGCTTATTTACGAAGCCATTCAACCAGAAATGAGCCTCATCGCTGAACAAAATTTGTCGATAAAAAAGCGGATTTTCTGCCAACTTTTCTAGGGCCCATTCACTGAAAATTCGACGTTGTGGCAGATCGTTCGGCTTCAGTTCTTGCACGAGCTGTATTTTATACGGTTTTACACCAAGATCTTTGCGTAAAATCTTCCATGTGGTCGAATAACACAAACCCAATTGCTGCGAACGGCGACGAATCGACATTTCACGGTCTTCAGCAACACTCTCAGAAACAGACGCAATATTCTCTTCTGTACGCACTGTACGCATTCGTGTGGTTGGTTTAATGTCCAATAAAGTAAACTGAGTGCGAAACTTGGTCACAATCGCATTAATTGTTTGCTCACTTGGTCGATTATGTAGACCATAAATCGGACGTAAAGCGCGAAACACATTTCGAACCGAACACTGATTTTGGTAATAAAATTCAATGATTTGCAAGCGTTGCTCGTTAGTAAGTCTATTCATGATGAAATTTCAAAGCATACTGAGCATCTTTCTCTTTGACACCATGTCTGAAATCCCACGTGATCTGTCAAATACTAATGCATGAAAATCCTAACCTCAAAAAAATCACCCGTTAGTACGCTGACCGGAAAAATAGTAAATTCTATTTATTATAGTACGGTTGGAAACCCTAACTTCGACCTCGTTTCTTCTCAAAATCTGGAGCTGATGGAAACTTAACACTTACGGATTCGTAATAATCACAAAAAAGTCTATCAAAAACAGCTTTAACAGTTGCCGCACCAAATCAGTGTTGCCCTGTGTAATCTAATGCAATCCCTCATCCCCTCCTTCAGAATTCTCCTAACCATTATTTTGACCACTTATTCGCTTGCAAAAGCAACTAATTCCTTGAATGTGAGGGTCACATTTTTTAATTTACTTATTTATTTCGCCACTCACTCGATCACTAGATCTTATAATCAATCCCACATTGGTATAGGCGAACTTTGACCTTGTAGTTAACCTCGCTTGTTTTCAAAACTTTTCAAAAACCACAGAAAATTCTAGTTGCAGCTGGATTATGAAACGTTTATACATAGTTGCGGTTTAGTTAGAAGATGTAGTTTTTACTCGCTACAACGCTAAAACTTTGATTTGAATCCATTTAGCAGAAGTCGTTTTGCCAGTTATCTAAGATTTTCAGAACTTAAATTTTATGTTAACTACCCTGCAAGAACAGTGGCAATCATATGACCGGCAAAATGACGGACGATCCTGATAGAAATACTCGTCATTACTTTGTATGAAAGTTTCTATCAAAATATTAAGGGAAATGTGCAAAATTTGACGGAAAAAATCTTATACATGTGAGTCATCAATGATATAAACATTGGCCACAAATGAATAATCATGCTTGATGGGATCTTAGGTCAATATTGACAAATCATATTATAAAATTTGGTCAATTATGACTGATCACAATTGATCGGTTTCGACGTCATATGAAACAACATGAGCTTGTCTCTGCTCATTGCATTACTAAAATTTCTTGTTTAATTTTAAAACACTTTAATTTCCTTTAAAATACTTATCGTTGATTTATTCGCACTTTCTCGCTTAAATTTTCGACCAAATGGGCTCAATTTAGATGGTTCCAATCGCGGGAAACTAAACCTATTCACACCGGTTTATCGGTATCTTCTGTTCGAAGGCGAGAGTTCTTTGTGCATTTTTACATTGCATTATTGATGAAATTTTGATCGATAATTATTTTTTTTATAGATAATAAATGCAATACGAAAAGAGGAAAGCAGGTCGAACCCAGGAGTTGAAAGCCTAATGATTTTTAACTCCGAGCCCGAACACCTGAACAAATAAACCTCTCGTAAAGCGACATTAGAATGGTCGAGATCACTGAATCTCAATACTCCAGTGATAAGCGTACTTATTAGAATTTCAATTCTCCGTTTACATACCTTTGTTGGTAACATTTCGCTGGGAATTAACGACATAAGCGGATACATGCCCAAGTTTGCGAAGAATGTGTGCAGCAGCAGCAACCCGGATACTAACCATTGAAATGGACCTCGAACTTTCATTGCAATACAGACAGCTAAGCATATCGCTGCACAACCACAAATCAATGCCGACGAAAAGAGCAGAATCTGAAAAAATACCGCATGTGAAATGACAAGCGTCTGCTGACCTTACAGCAATTTACCTTTCTTCTGAGCACCGAAGCTGACCACACGACAATTGTGGCTGCAGCAAACTGCACGAAAGCTAGAATTACAACGCTAGAATCTGGGGAAAGGCCACCGAAGACGTCCTTTGCCAATATCTCATCTGACCACGTGAGTATCACATAGATTCCACTCAGCTGTGCGCCCACAATCAGTACAAGAGTTATCAGTGTCACCTTTACCAGGTAGGTTTGCGGCACATTCGCTTGTGCGATGACATGCTTTTCCATGTTGCCCTTGAGATCCTGCAATTCGCGCAAAAAATCGGGACGATTGCGAACGCTCATACGACGCACACCGCGAAACCACCGCAAAGATTTCTCCAAACCCGACATATTTCCTTTGCGCATATGGAAGTATGGAGTCTCCTGACTAAACGGGAAGACCAGTGTAAAGGCACAAGAGATACATATGGCTACCACGCTAACATATTCATATTGCAAATGTTGACCGAGTAGAAAGCCAAAGAGCATACCCACTGTGCGCCATTGTTCTATTGTGGCGAGAAGACTAGAACTATTGTGCTCCTCGGATATCTCGGCTATGAAAATAGGCAGCACTGCAAATGTGGCGCCACCTGCCAAGCCACCGAAAATACGTGAGGAATAAATGTGTAAGATATCATAGGCGAAATGCACACAAAACCAACTCGGCTGTGAAGAAAAAAAGTAAATACATAAATATTTATTGTAATGGTCAAGACCATACCGCAAAACGTGCATGCTTACAATTTGCAATAGACCGCTTAGAAGTAGCACCGCTCGCGGACCTATCCTTTGCGAGAGGAAGCCGCCGATGAGTGCACCCACAGCGGCGCTGGCGAATAGGTAACCGGAAATCCAAGATGCATCATCTGCGTTTACAATGCAATTCAGTGGTGATTGCTCAGCCTTGTAGAGTTTCATGTGTGGAGGCGTAATGCCGAATAGCAGGCCGAAATTCAAGCACAATAAATTACCTGAAACACAAAAAGTGGTGAACATGAGATTTTAACTGCTGCAGTATGGGTAATAGGGCCGTCAGAATGGTTCCTTTCCGCCCCTTTCGCAAATACATGCAACTGACAACACTGAGTAAATTGTGTCGTTTTGTTTAGAAAACGCCAAAACAAGAGTTGTCGTATTGAATGGCAGTAGCCCTGGATTTCAAAATGTAAAAATAGGTGCGTTCGTTTAAAATCTCCAGTAAAAACCAACCAACTGCCAAATTCCGGCGAAATGTCATCTGTTCTCTCACAAGAGAAAAACATCGCAAATAGTACGCGAACAGAAAATTTGCAGAAACTTTCAAGTTAGACGAACAGAATGTAATTTTGTTTACATTCAAAAGTGTAAAATTTAAAACGTACGAAAACTCATTACAAAGTGGTATCCTAACACAGTTTATTGATTAAACAAATAACTACTTACTTCTTACAAGTTTAATTTGTCGCATTTTGTCATTTTTAACTTCCAAACCATCAAATTCAATTTTGTGATTTGCGTAAATTCAAACCAGCTGTTTTCCTGTTGGCAAATTGCTGTTGGCAAAAATTTTTCCAGCAGAAACCAGCAGCTTCCCCTCAAAATGAAATGTCACTTTGCTCTCTCAATTTCACCTACTTTGCAAGTTTTTTGCGTACGCGAACGCAAAAACCTGCAAGTTTTGCTTGAACTTGAACAATTAACAGCTACGCGAACGCAACTAATACAAAGCATCTGTCGCTTCGGAACTTAGTCGTACAGGGTGGTAGTACGCATCTCTAATCACGCGTACTCGCCGGCCGCCCAACCAGAAGCAGATTAAAGCGTCCAACGTGCGGAGCTTCATTTGAAAGTAGCATCTTGCCGTGGTTATGTACATGGATAGATCACATCTCTGTGGTTCAGAAATAAAAAAAAACTCGATGCTTTATATGTTTCCCGATCTCCTCTCCTTACTTTTGACGTTTGGCAGACTCGTCACAACAGCAATGCAAGTAGCGGATAGTGATCACTTGATTTGTATTGAAGCTACGTTATGCGCGTGTTGTCAGTTGGGAGTGTTTACTGGACGATCGGAAGACTGCTCAACCTGACAAGCGTTGAAGTTTGTAGGCAGCAGCTAAACTTACCGACAATTGTTGCAATACTCTGGATCGTAGGACCCTTTAAATCCTTTGGTAGACACATTTTTGATAATAGTTTCGCTCACTTCTTTCCTTCTCCTCCCCTCTTTTACAACACCTTTTACTACTCCTAATTTTACTGCACACTCCTACTAAAATTAGACCGTTTAATCATTCATCCGAGTGGATGAGCGTACGAATTGCAACTGCTTCCTTCTCGCTCTCATGACCGATTAATATGCAATCTCAAACAGAGTCTTTAACCAAATGCGTCAAATGATTGTGATATCCCAGCAAACATTTGGAGTCATAAATGAGTCTTCAAAGAGTCCTATTTCGGAGCCTTTACGCTCATAATGAGCTCATTTAAGAGTCCGATATGAAGATGTTTCCCTTCCTGCGAATGTAGACTTATATGAGCTGAAATTTATACATCAAATGAGCCCAATATGAGTAATATTGGACTTTTGTTGGCCTCATATACGGCTCATTTTGGACTCTTTTAAAACCATTCTTGACCTCATATATGTATGTATGCATAATTTCAGACTCTCTTTGAGGCTCTTTTCGGGCTCATAAATGACTACATTCGGACTCATATTTCAGGTTGTTCTTTGTGTCTTATTGAACGCACTATATTTGCAAAGGCATTCAGCAAAATTTTTTTCAAATAGCGTACATACATACTTATATTACATTTACATTGGACCAAAATGCGTGATTTGAAATCAGTCATTTGAAGGTGTTTACACTGCTTGATCCGCATTTGCTTTGACTTCTCATCAAATGAAAAGGGAAGACAAAAACAAAATGTATGTAAACAAACACTACATTTATTATATTGTTAACGCTTTTTGGACACAAAAAGGCAATTATTCTTTGATTAAACTAAAAATGTGTAAAGCTCTTGTATAAATTAACAATTTTTACACACAAATTTCAAAGATTTATTTATTTCGTTGTGTTTGTTTTGTGTTTGAAAAATTCCAAATGTCAAAGACAAACCAAAGCTTTTGTGGAACTTTTGTTTCTGAGTGCGTTCAATAAAATAGTACGGCAATTGGAACGCATTTGTTTCGTGATTTTGTGTAAATGCGTCGAAATGCGTCATTCTGGAAATGTGAATTTGTATGGAGAAATGCGTGATTTGGCCTCGCATTTGAGGTTTCTCGCCCAAATGACGCATTTGGGCTCAATGTAAATGTAATATTACATACGTGCATATATACATTCCAACATTCATTTAATAGCAACAGCTGCACCTAAATTTTGTTTATTTTTTGTTTCCTAATTATTTTCAATTTCTGTATAAACAAGTTTAGATATAAATTTCGAATCTTTATTATTTTTATATAGGCATAAGGTGGTGGCTCATGACCTGGATCATATACATATGACTCCTAAAAGATTCATATAAGAGTCACAAATTTTTCGTTTTTGAAACTCATATTTCTTACCCACCACCACTCCTTTCGGACTCATATACTCTGAGCGCTCAGAATATGTTTGCGGGGATGTTTCGTTTTTCGTTGGAGCGTATTGTCACAATTGTATTAATAATGTGCGTGCATGGCTTCGGTTTTGTTGACGCTGGCAAACGATGTTAAAATGCCAACCAAATTTTTATTAGCGCCAGTAGCATCCAGTATTTTAATTGTTGCTTTATTTACTACATACTCGTTTTATTGGAAGCCAGTAGCCCATTTTGGTGTCATAATCTGCAGTTCATTATGTTTACAAGACGTGTGTCTACATCCGTGCTTCTGATAAGTGAAGAAATGCGCAACGATAAGAAAAGCTCGTCCAAGGCATGGGAAATTTGCCAATGTTAATCTATTGAATAAACTAATTTGTAGATACATACGTAAATAAGTATGTACCCAGCCACAACAATAATTGAAAGAATATTTCTCTATGCGATAAAGCCACGCGTCGCTTCTGAAACCCCATCACCTTCATCTAACCCCTCTGATGATCAACAGAGAAGCATTTAAGAATGAGTAAAAGCAATCCTCATCAGTCCAACATCGATCCGCCAGTCGCAGTTTTATTAATTGGCAACAAATTAAACAGCGAAAATATGAATCAAATAAAACACTTTAGTCTAAGATCCGAATAGGGCACAAACTTCACCAAACTGTTTAATGGATGAAATATATTTTGTATGAAATTTAACGTGTTAGTAAATATTTCTCGAGTGAGTTCGCTAAAAAAAATCATGGCCAAAATATTTTTTTAATTAAATATTTAAAAATTGATTTTTTTTTTAATTTTGCACTCATTTGTTTACTGAACATATTTTATGCCAATCGAAAGTATAAAGCCTATAGAATGTGGAAACGTTGGGTTGTCTATTTTTTTCCTAGCCTACCAAGGTACATTGAACAGGTAGTATCAGTAGAGCAGCTGATTAGATTTATTTTCAAATTATTTGGTCTCGAAAATGTCAAATATTTTTAATTTTTTCTCACAAAAATTCTGAATTGTTAAAATCCGTTTGCATGTGAAACCTTTTCCCATACAAAACAAGCGATTGAATAGCAGCTTTTGGAACGTTCGCCCAACTCGGCAGCACGACCGCTGATTACTGGGCCTTGCAAAGGATGGATCAATGCTTCGAGAAGCAAACAAATTTACTAGGAAAGAAAGTTGCATCAATTTTTATTTTTTTCAATTTCAATTTTTTATTTTTTATAATTTTTTGTATTTCACATGGCACGCTTTGATTTAGAAGAAAAAATTCAGAACAGTTTTTGACACTTTCGATACCAGAAGCAACAACAAAATACACGCAAATGTTGTTTTTGCTCTACTGATACTACCTGTTTAATGTGCCTTGTAGCCTACCCATCAAGACGAATTTATATAAGGTGATAGCAGGAGTACAAAAACAAAAATTTACATGTATTTTGTTTTTGCTTTGGCGGCATAAACTGTCAAAATCTGTAAGAGTGTGTGTAGAAATTCAAACAAAATTTTTCAATTTGATATCAGAAGCCGTGCGGCGAAACACATACACAAAATCAGCTGAGCTAGTAATACCACCTTATATAAATTCGCCTTGCTACCCATGATACAAAAAAGAACGTAGTTCCATTTAATGACATTCGTTGTTGTTAACTATTTCACTTTTAATACAATTATGACATTTTATTAAATTCATGCTACCTGATCACTAGAAGAAATATTTTTTTAAGCAGAAAATTTTATCAGTACATTCAAAGATGTGGAATACTTATGATGCACTTGAAAATTATGCCGGCTACATAATTTCGAAAATGAGGTTGACGACTAGGTTTCAGAACGCATGAAGAAAGTGATCAAAATTATACTTCCATATCGTCGTTTAAAGGCTAGAACCATCAATACCAAAGCTTAGATTTGATGAGATAATTCAGAAATATAACTAAACATAAGATTTTCTTGTAGTAAGGTCTCTACATTCTAATTTCTTAGCACATATGATAATTTCGCCCACAAGAAAAAAATCATTGTCACATACAATGAAATTTACAGAAAATTTTTGGGGTAGCTATTGGGATGCGTTATGGGTTGTAAAACCGAGATAATTATCAATACTACATCCCAGAATTTTATTCTTCCATAGCGAGATGTGTTCAAACTTTTTTAACCCATAAACATAGCGAGTAATAAGCGGAAGAATAAGTTGTTTGGCTAATTTTTGCCTGGTCTCTTGTGGTGTATAAGATGCAGAAATCCTTAGTCGACGTAACACAGCATAAACGCTACTTACAACTTGATTAACATGATCACGAGGACTCAGCTTGGAGTTAATAACAAAACCTAAATTTTGTGATTTTTTCTGTAACCGTTGGGGCACTAGTTTCAATTTACAATTCAAGGATATCATCAAGTTGGATTACACTATTACTAATTGGCAACACGAAGGATTTTGCAGCATTTAAACACGAATATTTATTACGAGCCCAAGCAGATATCGCAGACAAGTCACTATTAATTTTACAACACAAATCATCAACCAGACCAATACGACTAGACAATTATAGTTGAATATCGTCAGCATATGCATGTATATTCACGTATCGAGACACAGAGAACACATCATTAACAAAAAGACTGAACAACAACGGCCCAAGTACCGATCCTTGTGGAACACCAGAAACAATATCTCTTGCCTGAGAGGAAGTATCTCTTCCTTTAACTTTTTGTGATCTACCCTCAAGGTAGCTAGACATTAGTCTGACAGAGCTGTCCGTAAAGCCGAAACAATACTTGAGTTTTTTACATAGAAGCTCATGATTAACGGAGTCAAACGCCTTCGAAAAAATCGAGAAGACAAAGGAGAGTTAAATCTCCGTTGTCAAACTGTGTCCTAACATCATCAAGTATTTTGGTCATTGCAGTGGAGCAACTACGCTGCGGTCTGAACCCTAACTGTAGTGGTGAAAGTAATTCTCTTTCGTGAATGAATGCCTCAATCTGCGATGCCATTATTGATTCGCACACCTTGTGAAGTTGGATGAATTTATTAAAAGAAAATTCTTGCGCGTTTCAAAACTGCAAGAATTCGGTACACCTGTGCAAAAGTTCGAAAATCAAATTTGGGCTTCTCCGAGGATAGAGTACATAATACAATAGGGGTATTCACGATCCGGTGAATATGGTCTAGCATGGTGCATATATAGCATAAATAGCATGAGTGGCAAATTTTGCTTTGTATGAACACATGAAACAACAACAATCATGCTATTTATGGTATCTATGCACCATGCTAGACCACATGCACCGGATCGTGAATACCCCTAATCTAATGGTCTGATTATGCATACTTCGAATAACTTCGCACCACTTCGCATAAACTTCAAACTGTAATTTCGTATGTACTTTGTATGTATTCCGTTACCCATAAATTAGCAGAGCTTTTAAAAACTTAGCGATCTGTTGAGTTTAGATTTTGCTTCACATTTTCTTAAGTTACATTTTTATTGCACTGGTACAAATGGTTGTGCGAAGTTATGCGAAGTATCCATAATCAGACCTTAATGCAGTTTGATGAAAAATTGCTGACGGTAAATATTTTTAAACCTCGAAACGATGTACCGTTATCCGTAAAAGAGGGAGAGGTCGAGTTAAAATGATGCCCTGCAACTTGTTACAGTACCAATCTTTGGATTCTCGGAATTTTCTGATAAAGATGTGGCGCAGCTAAAAAATATACATATGTATAT